CTCTGCTGCCATAAAGTCACATCCCTCCATTGCCAGCAGCCAAGCAGTACTCACTTAAAACAATGGAGGCTGGGCCCAGAAGATATCGTTCACTGGTGGAACATGCTAGCACCAGACCCATCTCCGCTTTGTACCTGCTGAACGAGCCCAAAGTACTGCAGCAGGCGCTGAACTGCAGTTGCTTCTGGGGTGGAGCATGGCAGTGGTGTTGCCAGCAGAGAGGACCACAGCCCACAGTTGGCATAATACTTATATTTGAGATAAAAAAAAACGCACCAGGCAGCATTAGATGTGCTGAGTACCTGATGGTTGAGTGGAACACAGCAGGAAGAGAAGGGGATTCTGGAGGACAAAAATGGGCAAAGTGAATTTGGGATCCCGTCTTTCCAAAAAGGAGAATGCTGCAGGGATGGAAAACGCCAGCCTCAGGCAGAGGGTTAGCGTGACAACCCTCTGGACCAGGGCCTGCTGTGGGCAAGCTCAGCTGTGACCTGACGTCTCCAGAGATGAGAGTTAAAAGATTGGACCTCTCCCCTGCATCCAACTGACATAAGCTCACTGGGGCCAAGGCAATACAGGTAGCATTTAGAAAGCCCCAATTCCCCCTTCTCTTGACAAGATCCTTTGTGCTGGCCGGCGAGCAAGACAGATGTACCCTCATCAAAACAACTTTTTAATAAGACTGATTCTCAGTTGAACACGCCAGCCAGGAAGAGACCTCATTTGACAGCCAGCCAAGATGGTTCTAGGCACAGCGCGTCATGCATATGAAAACTGTTTCTGCTTCCCCAACCCCGTCAGGTCTCACTGGAGCAGCTAAACGCAAGTTAAAAGGAGACGCAGGCAGGGGCTGGCTCTCCAGAGGCATGGGATGATCTTCCTGTGAGAAACAGACCCAGCGGATTCTGGGTCAATCCCGCTGCAAATCGATAGGTCTAAGGCCACAGGAGAGCAAACAGCCCTTCCTTCTAGCAACCAGGATGGACAAGGAGACTGAAAAGTGTGACGGGGCAGCCCAGTTAACTTAGCACAGATGTCACCGGCAAAGGAGGGAGGCAGTTCGTTGCTTTCAAAGAGCATTTCAACACTTCCTGTGAAAGGATCTGCCTTTCCAAAGGGAACATTAAATTAATACAGGCAGGGGAGAGTGCATTGGTGCAGGCGCTAACGAACATGACCAGCCCAGGGAGGGAGAACACAACACAGCGGCATCTCCAACACCCACTTGCAATTTATAGCATCGAGAGAAGCATGTGCATGGCAGGGGATGAGGGAGTAACCTCCTTCCCGCCGCACATACAGCTACGTCTCAAGACACAGCGGCCAGTTAAATCAATTGGCAAACATGAGCCACCAACCTCCGGGCGCCTGCGAGAAATCTAAGTTCATTCCAGGCCCAGGTTTTTAAAGAGCAGAGGATGTTGAAAAATGGTTTCAAAGCAGGTCCGGCTCCGATGCCCAGGGCGCAATTCGCCACAATTCATCCAAAGGAAAGAGAAACACAATCACAGCCCACTTCATAGGGGCCTGCAGCCGATCCACACCAGGAGGCGGAAAGCAGAGGCTCCGGGGAAGGAACCGCGAACAGCTTCCGTCAAGGAGATGGAACAAGCCGCACCCAACCCCAGCTCCACCATGCAGGTGGAGTCCTTCGGTACAGGCCTACGCGAGCCAGAGTGTAAACTCGCCACTCCCCTCCGCGCCCCACATCAGCCTGGAGCACAAGGCCCAAAGTGAAGCAATAACCCCCACTCCAGCTTCCTCAACAGAGGCTCGGAGATACGAGTAGGCCAATAAATAAGACAGGCAGATAACCACGTGTCGCCACCACCCCAGAAGGAGCCGGCCAAGCCTGAGCCAGCTCCTAGAGAGTGTGGTTTCTCGGGGGGGGGGTCCCCGATCTCCCCTTCAAAGAGGAGAAGGGATTTCCCCCCCAAGTTATCCAATCACCAGTGAAATACAGGGGCCTCGGGTGAAGCAGGCTCAGGCTTAGAGGCCAGCAAAAAATCCATTCTCCGCGCCATCGGGCCGGCCCCCCTTGGCGCCCTTCCCAGGGTTGGGCGTAGTAGAGTACTTTGGGGGGTAGCGAATGAAGAGCCGGTCCTCCTCCTTCTTGATCCAGCGCAACAACTTGGTGAGGACATTGATGGCGCCGGCCTTGGTTACCAGGGGGCTGAAGCAGGTGTATAGCTCGAACTTACTGGTGACCTGAGAAGGAGAACGTGGAAAAAGGACAGGTCAATCCATCCTCTCCCCAATACCTGGCATTGTCTTGTCTCTTGTCCTCCCTCTCCAAACCTGCTCCCCAAGCTTCTTCTCATCACTAGCCCTGTGGGAGGCAGCACAAGCTTTAAACCTATATGGAGCTGTCAGCATGACAGCCAGAAGCAGCATGAGCTATCTGTTCCAATGGGGCCCGTGTTCACTCTGAAACCTACTGATGTTTGGTTAAAACCCAAGCACATCGCTGCCGATCACGTGAGTGGACACATCACACTAAGATGCATATCCCAGTCACATCCCTCAGTAGTCTGGGAATTCTGCAGCATGTGGGGCCTTGACGCTGGAATTCTGGGAACGAGCAGCCTGAACCATTTCCCCAGCTATCCAGGCGGGACTGGTCTGGGCTTGGTGATCACTTCCCACGCCAGGCACCACTGTGCTTCCTGCTAGGAGAGCAGGAATGAGCCCAGTGCAAGATAGAAAGGACAGAGCAGGAAGTCCCACCCTCCTCACACTAGAGTATTACTGAGACAGGAAGTGGTCTCTCCCAAGCCCCCAGCCAACACCAGGTGAAGGCCCAGGCAATCTAGGCTCATGCCTAAGGGCGATTGCTAGAGTCATGTGATCACAGCAGCAGCTCAGCTTTCTGTTACAAATAGAGTAAGCATCTCACCCTCCTAGTTGGGAAGAAAACCTTGAAATCATAAACCAAGTGTCACAAAGGCAGCGACACTGCCTGAGTCTGCAGAAGGCCTGAGCCCATCACTCCAACTTGGGGGAAATTGACCCACGTGTGAGTGATGCTGCCTGAGTTTGCAGAGAGCCTGAGCCAATTGCGGTGAGTGAGTAGTAGGGGGTCCTCCTGCCTCTCTTGGGGAGGAAGAGGGGCCCTGCTGCTCCGCTGGGGAGATGAGGGCCCATGACCCTGCCCCTCCAGATGCCTTGATCTGTGCCCTGCCTTACCCAGGCGAGTAGCGTCTCCTTCTCGGCCACGTGGTAGATGAGGCGCAGGGGGCGAGAGGTGCTGTGAATGCGGCTGTGCAGGTAATGGTAGAGGTCAAAGAGCCGGTGCTGCTCCTCCTCGCTGCAATACGGCCCCTCCAGCTCTGGGCTGCGGGGGCGAGAGACGCCAGAGGAGGGGGGATTAGACACAGAGACTAGGCACCACCCCCTCCCTGCTGCTCCCAGTGTCTTGACCCCGCACCCCGCAGAACCAGGAGGGCAGGGAGAACGCTGAACTAGAAGGAAACCTAGGAACAGCTGGAGCATGAACCCATCTAGCGCGGCATCTTGGCTAGCAGAGGAACCCCAGAGGAAATAGCGTCCCAGCCCCCAGCGATTAGTGCTTGCTCACTGCCGAAATCCAGCTCCCTCCGGGGTCGGGCCCGCCCTGCCAAAACCCTGCCTTTGGTGTGAGATCTTCCAGATACTCCTGGGGCCTGCAATATCCTGCGGCAGGGAGTCCCACCAGCTAACACGAGGGACTTGTAGAAGCCCACAGCTGGCTTTGACCCCTGTGTGGTTCACGTGACAGGCCTTTGTTCTGGCACTACAAGGCAGGGAGGATGAAAGATCCCGATCCTATTGCAGTATTTGGTATACAGCTAGCCAGTCCCCTCATATCAGGGTAGAGGAGCCCATTGTTCTCATCCGGGATGGGGACGAGGTACCAGGGAAAGGCGGACCCCCATTCTGATCCGGGACGGGGAGGAGGTACCAGGGAAAGGCGAACCCCCATTCTGATCCAGGACGGGGAGGAGGTACCAGGGAAAGGCGGACCCCCATTCTGATGTGGGGGAGAAACACTTGCCCTGACTAACGAGGTGTATCGTGAGCCAATCACGTCTGTTTCAGGCTGTGAACAAGCAGTTCAGAGACCCCGATTCCATGCCAAGTCCAGCTGACAGGAAGAATGGTTGTGTGGGGTAAAGCGGTTCGTTAAGTGCCCTACACTGACCCGTCTCACCCTGGCACGAGCTCTCAGCTGCAATCCCCCCCTGCCCCCCAGCAGAGGGGTCTAGTAGTGTAGAGCACAGGGGCTGGGAGCCAGGACTCCTGGGTTCTATCCCTGCCGTTTTGAAACAGAAGAACGTGCCTCGGTTTCCCCATTTATAACACACAGACAGTGTCACCCATTCTTTTTTGGGGGCACTGGGAGGTTCATGATGTCAGAGCTCCCCTCCCCTGGCACTGAGCTACCCACACCATTCCCCCACGTGATGCACTGCCGAGGCCCCTGAATTCCCAGCATGCCCTGGGCCACCTCCGCCCCCGTGATCCCCACAAGCAGCCAGTCTCACACACATGCCGCCTTGTTGGGAAGCACATGATGTGCCCTATTTAAAGCCGGGATTGCATAAGGCTGGCTTAATTCGTCCCGGAGCCGCGGGGGGAGAGGGAGGGCAGCTGTCTGTTCGGGAGGCTGGCTGTCCAGCTGGCACCTCCCAGCCGTCCTCCACTGCAGTGACCACAAAGCGCTCTCCCGGCTGCACCTGGGGCTGAAACGCAGCTGCCTCTGGGGTGGGGCACACAGCTACAGAACGCCTGCCCGCAAACTGAGGACAGCTCTACTGACACCTGGCCTGCTGCCTGCACCACGGCGCCCCCCAGTGCCCAGCCCTGACTGCCAGGGGAGAGCGCCCCCTGCCCAGCCCCCCGCCCTGCTCCCCATGGCACGGCGCCCCCCAGTGCCCAGCCCTGACTGCCAGGGGAGAGCACGCTCCACCCCGCTACCCACCACAGAGCGCCCAGCACTAACTGCCAGGGGAGAGTGCCTCCTGCTGATCCCCCTGCTCCCTGGTGCCCCCTACCACCAGTGCCTTGCAGGTACCAAGCACGGCTTAGCATTAGCGTCAGAATTCAAGGCCACCGACACGACCCAGCCTCCCCCACACCAACCCCGACGGCCAAAGCCAGAGCCAAGCACTGCTGCCCCCAGGAGGGCGGCCGGGGTGCCCCGTTACCTGGTGAACTGGGGCAGCTGGCGGTAGTTCTCCGGGATATCCAGCGGCTTGTAGAGGAAGTGCCGCAAGTCGGGCACCCCGACCTGCCCCACGCCGTAGGAGGGGCTCTGCGGGCCGCCCGAGAGCACCTGCAGCGAGCCCTGAGTCCGCATGGCCTCCTCCACCCGCTTCTTGCAGTCCGAGACGGCGTAGAAGGACTCCTTGTCGGTGGAGAGCAGCACCAGGCACACGGTGCACTCCGCGTCCAGGTAGGAGATGTAGGCGTAAAAGTACCCGTCGGGGTTGAAGCGGGGCAGGCAGATGGGTGTCCAGATCTCCCCGGCCTGGAAGGCCGAGCTGGCCCCGATCAGGTTGAGCAGCAGGTGGAGGTCGGTGGGCTCCAGCCGGCACTCCTCGATCACCGCCCGCTCCTGCACCGCCGTGACCAGCTGGCTGCGGGCCACCAGGATGGAGAAGACCAGGTTGGGGGTGATGGCCTTCTGCAGCAGGGTGCCCAGGGCGTCCCGCAGGGAGGCTGGAAGGGGGAGGCAGCGCACGGCCCCCAGCAGGAAGCCGGGATCCGACTCCACCAGGTTGAGCAGGCGGTCGAGGATCTTCTCGGAGCCAGCCAGCAGGCGCCGCAGGTCGTAGTTCTTCTTGCGCTCGAAGATGCGGGTGATGCTCACCTGGGTCAGCATGCTGAGGATCTGGTAATAGACGTAGAGCAGCTCCTGGCGCAGCTGCTGCTCCGACTGCAGCGTCCGCGACACCGACACCAGCACCAGCGGGCCCTGCTGCACGAACACCAGCTTCCGGTCGTCTGGGGCGGAGGGGCAGACGTGGAGACAGTGAGATTGGCCTGCTCCCGGGGGCCCCCGAGTGCCGCTGCCCGACCCCCTGGGCCAGCCAGT